CAACAGACAGCAAATGCTGCCACTGCAAAGAAGCTGAAGAAGCAGTGGACCACCTGGTTAACTGCTGCAAGATCTCACAGACTGACTACAAACAAGGACATGACAAAGTAGCAACAATGGTGCATTGGAATATATGCAAGAAATACCACTTGTCTGCAAGCAAGTACTGGTGGGACCACAAAATAGACAAAGTAATAGAAAATGAAGAAGCTAAAGTGCTCTGCGACTTTAGAATTCAAACAGACAAGCACCTGCCACACAACACCCCAGATTTAACAATTGTTGGTAAGAAAGATAAAAAAGTCTGGATAATGGACATTGCAATACCAGGAGACAGTAGAAGAGAAGAGAAAGAACTGGAGAAAATCACAAAATACAAAGATCTGCAAATAGAAATAGAGCGACTGTGGCAAAAGAAAGCAAAGTTAGTGCCAATATAATAGGCCCTTGGGTGCAGTCCCCAAACATCTGGAGTACTACTTGAAGACCACCAGCACTGACAAAATCACCATCAGTCAATTGCAAAAGGCAAGTTATATCCTGCAATGATACCTTTAACACCATCAAGCAACAACATCTGCCTATCCCAGGTCCTTGAGAAGGGCTCAATAGATGGACAAAAATGCCAAATCCAGTCTAAACTTCTGGCTGACTGTGCAACCAACAACAAGAACAATAATAAAAGGAATTTCATTTCTGCATAATACTGACACTGGATAATGAATTCCAGAGAACCAAGCTATGTATGTTACTTAATTATTTAGAATGCATAATACAGAAGAATGTGGCATTCGTTTTACAAATTTTTAGTAACAAAAAAGCATATTATGCTCTTATATCAAATTTTAAAGAAGGGCCCTCCCTAGATTGTTATACTTAATTGCATTTTATATGGAACTATGAATTTGATAAATATTTTGATAAATATTTTGATAAATGAGAGTGTTTCCCAATCTCATGCCTGACTGACACAGGAGGATGGATAAGCCCTTTTACTAAGCACTCTCCTCCAGTGGTTTCCTAACTGGAACCCACTTCTCCTGTGCAACTTTCCCTGAGTTCTGCGTAGAGTTTTTAAAAACTCACTGTTGTCTGATTCTACCAGTTCAGCAGTATACAGATTAAACGGCATAGCTGAATAGTCTCATTTCTTGCAAATGAAATAAATTTATCTGGTATGATATTATCCTTCTTAGGAGCACTTGAAAAACTAGAGCAATATTTCACAATCAAGACAATTCTATACTTGAATAACTTTGCAGTTTTAGGATAAATTACTAAGTATAAATTACTTTTGGAAACTATATTAACCATTTAAATGAAACAAAGTTGCTATAATTACAGTTCCATTATCTATATGTGGCTGAAACAGATATGTAATAGAATATATGTATACATTCACATGGTGACAGATTTTTTTAATCTATAAAATTGCTTCTTTATAGGTTAGATACATTTCTCTATTATGCTCCATTATCGCATTTAACTTTAATCAAGTGTGCAGATTGTACATTTTTACCTATCTCTCACGGACACACCATATATAATTTTGGATGAGGTGGCCTAACAATCACTTTTTTTTTAATGGTCCTGTCTGTTATTGGCTTTTTGTATTTTTTAATAGCTGGAACAATATCTGGAGAAGAGATTCCTGTAGTCTCGAAGACTAATATCAAGGAATATAAGGACAGTTTTTCCTGTGAAAAATTCAATTTCAGGAGCAACCCAAACATCACTTTCTATGTATATGTCAGCAACTTTTCATGGCCAATCAAAATACAGGTTAGTATAAACAGTAATGGTATTGGTACTTCAGTTACATTAAGTTATAGTGCTGGTTCCAGGCCACCAGAAATGCATATCTGAATGCAGAATATGAAGTGAGATCTTGGATTATAAATTATTTGACATGTTCCTCTTATTGTGTGTATGATTGTTGTTTTTTTAAAAAAACATTCCCAGCTTTTCTGAAACTGCAGCCTCTAGAAGTACAAAATAAAGATCTGATTTTGTTGTTTGGTGAAGTACCAAATCTGCATGTTTTGTATACTTTTGAGGACCACTGATTAGCTGTGTCATAACTTTATAATTCGATAGATGAAATAATTGTTATGCTTCTATAGGAAAAAGAAAAAAAAATACAGAATTTGATAAAGCATATGTTAACTGCTGATCTGTCACAAAAGCCCTAGTTTATATCTTACCTCTTAGAGGCATGTATGAAGGCTATGGAAATATTTCATTTTTTTTTTTAATTGTTAGACCTATATCCTACCTTTCCTGCAGGACTTCAGGGTGTGTATATATCCTTCCCTCCTCCTTTTTTCTCCACCACCACAACTTTTGAGATTAATTGACTAAGGACAAGTGATCCACTGAGCTTCTTTGGTTTAGAATAAACTTGAACCTGAGTATCCCCAGTCCTAGTCTATATATAATTTCTAATATTTCAGAAGAAGAATATTATAGATTGCATCTATGGATGTATGAATCAATCAGTCTATAATTTATTCATGGAACTGTCACATACAGCAGGGTTCCTCAACCTTGGCAACTTTAAGACCTTGGCAACCTTGGCAACCCTGACATACATTATATCCAATTGTTCGTGTTTTAAAATTGGATTTTCCTGCCATTTTAAAAGTATTGCTTTGTTTTATATGCAAGTTTCTCTAACATGCCCACT